GTAAATACCGCTGTGACCTTGATTTCAACTCTATTTGCCTCACGGGTCATTTTGACCTGAAGACCATCTTAGTACGTTTTTTTTGTACAGCTTACATGGAAATGTGAATAAAAGCAACATTTAACTTTTTCTATTATTTTGGCCAATCTAGGCAAAGTCTTAAAATCTCAAGTTAAAAAAAAATAACATTTAGGGGATTTTTTGGGGGGTTTTAACACAGTGGCGGGTCATTTTGACCCGAAGACAACAGGAGGGTTAAGTTGTAGCTAACAGAGTCTGCGTCAAAGCAAGAACAATGAGCTCAGATCTGACCACATCCACATGAGAATGAACTAATAATCCGGATAAATAATATCAACGGTTTTTGTTAACTTTAGAAACAATAGTTAAATATAAGTATTAATAAATTTAAATCCAGTAATAAAAAAGTCAATTTCAGAAAAGTGAAACGCTGTGTTACAGAAACAAAACAATCGCTTTGGTATCTTTGATCTTCCTAAAATATCAGAAACTCGTTCTTTTCTGTCAGGTTAATTTTTAAATGAATATTTGATGATGTGTAAGGTACAGTGTTACTGCAGGACAGGAGGATGATGTCCAGTCTGTGCACATGTTTATCCCTCCTCTCTGGTTCACGTGACTCTAACCAGAAACTTTCTTTTTTTTCCTGAGAAGAGAAAACGAAACTTACTTTGACACATGTCCTCGGTCTCTGTTTCCTTTCTGTCCAAGCCTGGTAGGATTTCTCCTTCATTTTACGGATTGCAACAGATTAGCAACTCATCCAGTGTTTAAAGGCGACCTGTGGAGGCTGTGGACTGGACTTTACTCTTCTGCTGCATTCAGCTTTTCATCCTCTTACTTCTCCTAAGGTTTCCAGCTTTGAGTTTACGGTATAACTTTTGTTTAAAGGTAGCATTTTATGGTGATTTTTAACAAGTGTTTTAGGATCACTGAGCTAGAAGCAGAGCTACGTTTTTCTCTTCTGTTTGGTCATCTAAAGGTGAGCTCTCTTTTTAATTAAATTTATTTATTTATGAACAAAACAAATACTATACATGCAACAAATAATACAAATCACAAATAAAATGAAAGGTAGCAGAAAGAAGAAAACATCTTATTAACATCTGCCCCTTTTTTTAAAAAAAAGAATAAAAATTCAAACATAATAATCTTATAATAAAACACAACTCCTCCTCGAACAACAGTTCTTATAAATGCACATTGTACAAATTCATATTTCTTTAAAAATCTGACTTTTATCATTTTCTTAAACACATTTATTGAGACAGCATTTTTATAATCCCTTTCCAGATTATTCCACAGTCTTATTCCTCTTACAGAAGTACATCGATCCTTTAGGTTGGTTCGAATTTTAGGTTTTATAAACATCTCTAGCCCCTTAAGATTATAATTACTTACTCTCTTAACAAAATTTAATTGGATATTTAAAGGTAATAATTTTTATGGGCTTTATACATAACCTGCAAAATATTATAATAACCAATTCATAAATTTTTAATAATTTTAACTGATAAAATAATATATTAGATGGGTGAGTGTAATGTTTTCTGGTGATAATTCTTACTGCTCTTTTTTGTAAAGATGGGATTTATAATTGTTTTACATACCTCCCCCCAGACTTTAATACAATAAATCAAGTGCAGAACAATTATTGCATTATATAAACAGTGCTTTATCGTGAATTATGTCCTTTACTTTGTATTATACTGCAATGGATTTAGCTATTTTTGTTCTTAAATAATTTATGTGAGATTTCCATGTCAGCTTTTCATCAATAATAACGTCACCTCACTGACTCTGCAAATCTCAACACCATCATTTCTAAATGGAAAATCCATATTTCTCTTTCTTTTACTGAATATCATGCAGTTTTATCCAGATTTAATGTTAATTTATTTAGTTTAAACCAAGTTTGTATTTTACCAAATTCTGTTTGCATCATTTCCAACAACCGTTCTAGAGCTTTTCCCAAAACAAAAAAATGTTGCATCATCTGAATCCAAAACATGTACAATGGTTGCCTTCAGGCCCAGGCCGCCTTGAAAAGGAGATCTGAGATCTCAGTGGGACTTGCCTGGTAAAATAACGGTAAATAAAATAGATAGATAGATAGATAGATAGATAGATAGATAGATAGATAGATAGATAGATAGATAGATAGATAGATAGATAGATAG